TTCATTTATGATGTCCTTGATGTCACCCACAACTCATCTGGTCATCAGTCATTAGTGTTCAATGTGTCAAATCTATTCATGAGATGGTCTCTAAATTCTGGTGAGATATACTCAGAGTTGTATTTTGGCTCTCATGGGCTTGTTTTTTCTTCAACTTGAACTTGAAATTGCACAGGAACAATTGATGGTCTGTTCCACAGCTGGCCCCTGGCCTTAATATTAAGCTGCTCCATCATCTCTTTTAAAGATGTAGTCAATTTGATCCCTGCATATTTCATCTGGTGAGGTCCACATGTATAGTAACCATTTACGCTGTTGGAAACAGGTATTTGTAATGAATATTTGCAGAATTCTACTATGCAATCTCTAGCACTATTTCTATCATCAAGGCCTTGTTTTTCAACTACCTACCAATCTGTTTCAAGGAGCTCTGGCGGCACTTTGGTTAAAGCATTGTGTTGCTAACCAAAAGGTTAGTGGTTCAAACCCATCAGCTGCTCTGAAGAAAGATGAGGCAGTCTGTAGTCTGCTTTCATAAAGATTTATAGCCTTGGAAACTCCATTGGGGCAATTCTAGTCTGTCCTATAGTGTCACTATCAGTCAGAACAGACTCAATGGCAATAGATTTGGTTTGGACCAATCCTTCTTTGTTTCCAGCTTTTGCATCCCAATCACCAGTAATTATCAGTGCACCATTCATTAGGGATATGCAAATTAAAATCACATTGAGATACTACTACACACCTACTAGAATGATTAAAATTTTCAAACTTAACCATACACAATATTGGTGAAGATATGGAGCTAACAAAATCTACATTGCAGATGGAAATGTAGAATGATGCAGTTTCTTAAAAATTAAATATATACCTACTATGTGATCTATCCATTCAGTTCTAGGTATCAAGACAAGAGAAAAGAAAGCATATGTCCATACAAAGGCTTGGACATAGATGTTCACAGAAGCTTTATTCATATTAGCCCAAAAACAGATGAAAAGATATTTTAAATTGTGATAAAGTTATGCAATGGAACAGTACTTGAGAAAAATTTAACTATTGATACATGAAACAACATGGATCAATATAAAAATCATTACATTCAATTTAAAAACCAGACACAAAAGACCACATAGTGTATGATTCCATTTACATGAAATTTTTGAAAATGAAACCAATATATAGTAACAAAAAGCAGATCCAAGGCTGTCTGGGGTTTAAGGGCAAAGGGAAAAATAGACTGCAAAGGACCAGCAGGAATCTTCTGAGAGTCAGGAAATGTCATCTATCCTGTGTACCTTGATTGTGTTCACATTGGTCAAAATTCACCAAATTGTATACTTTAAATGGTTACAGTTTATGATACCTAGATGAAATCTCAACAAAGTTTAAATGTATTCAGAAAAAGATGTTTTTTGAGACCAAAGACTAGATTCCACTTTCCTCCAGGTCTAGCCTTAATAGTTACCTCTCCTTTAGAATAAATATCCTAATTTCTTCACTCATCTGTAAAACTGTAAAATCTGTAAATCTGTAAAAATCCTTTCCTGACCTTTTATCCCTCAGTCTTTTAGGGTAAGGCTTAAAGGGGCAGCTTCTATTTATTACTGATAAAAATGTGGGGCTTTATTTAACTTTTCATGACAGAAGGTAAAGTTTTAGCAGGCTTAAGTTCTTAGCCTCGTCCTTAGGCTTATTGTTAACATGTTATTCCACAGTGCTACACCATTCTGTCAGTAGTTCAAATCTTTCAATGGTTTCCCATCTCAGAGTACCAAATACAGTTATTCTACAACATTTTTTTGGAAATGCAAATTTGTTTCACTGTGATTGATATATTAGTAAACTGTTTGACCACAATGTGAATTTCCATTAACTTCTGCCAATTTTTTCCATGAGAAATACTAGGTGAATGCAGGAAACTGCATCCAGCTGAACCAAGTTACATAAGAACACATGAAATACTCACACCCACACACCACAAACTTCTACCAGCTACTTCATTACTGCCTGTGTTAGTCTTCCCTCTGATTTCAGATAACCCTCCTTCTACCATTTCACAGTTAACCCACAAGATGAGCCCTTATTACATCCACTTTCACTAGCAAACTTCAGGCAAAATGCTGTAGTATCTTATAGTAGTTACATATTTCTTTTTTTTTTTTTAATTGTGATTTGAGTGAAAGTTTACAGAGCAAATTCATTTTCCATATAGCAGTTCATACACATTTTGTTTCATGACTTTGATTACAATTCCCATAATGTAACAGCTCTCTTCCCACTTCCTCCTTTTGGGTTATCTTTTCCATGTGTCCTTTCCTATGTATTCTTGCCCTCTGAGCTAACTCCCTGTGCAAATGCTGCCCTTCTGATCTCCCATGATTGATTATTCTAAGGAGTATATCTACAGGTATAAATGTTCACCTTAAATGACCATCTATTGCTTGCCTGGAAGCCATCGAGAGTGAGTTCAATTCCAGGCCTGAAGGATGACTAGGGGCCATAGTCTTGGGGGTTTCACCAGTCTTATAGTAGTTACATATTTCTTAACTATTTATCATCTGTCAAACTCTACTACCATTCTATTGCATTTTTTTTTTTATTACATTGATGAAGTTTTTGAGTGCTGTGCCCCTAACCCTATTTTTCCCATAAACTTTGATGGTTTTATTATGCAGTCTTCCACTGAATGGTAATTTTTTAGACTATATACTGACCAATATAAGATATGACCCTTTATTACCACTTTAACCTCATTTCACATTACTTTCCCCTCATTAATTCCACTGGCTTCCTCTAAACCAAACCAAACTGTCATCAAGTTGATCCCAGCTCACAGCAACCTCCATAGCATTTCCAAGGATGTAAATCTTTATGGAAACACACTGCCTCATCTTTCTTCCAGAGAGTGGTTAGTGGGTTTGAACCACTAACCTTTTGGTTAGCAGCCAAATGCTTTAACCACTAGACCACTGGCATCCTACTGTTTCTCAAAGATAACCAGGCAGGCTTCAGCTTCACAGCATTCACACATGCTAACCTCTCTGCCTGGAAGCTTTCTCCAGATATCCTTGTGACTCACTTTCTTACCTCCTTCTGGTTTTCACTCAAAATGTCACCTTCACAGTGAGGTCTTCTCTATCAAAATTTGTAAAACACACCTGCCTTTTAATATTTCCTTTCCTCTACTTTGCTTTAAGCAAATCACATACTTCAAATACTCCTAGAACAGTGCCTGGTACACTGTAGGCACTCACTGAATATTTGAATGAGCAGACTATATAGTTGACTATATCAATCTTCTACATGTATTTTAGTAGTAATGATGGTATTGATCAGATTTTATAGGAAGGCTGAGGTCTTACTACATCTGAACCACATATCTAAATACAATGTGAGTCAAGTCCTTTGTTCACAAAGGTGAGACTACCACTTACTTCTGCCAGATACCCCTCCTCCAATCTCAATTTCCTTCTTTTATGTCATATTCATTTTACTGAACAACAAAAGCAAACAAGACAAACCTCCACTCTTCTTTACATCCAAGATGTATCTCTACTAAACAAAAGTGAATTAAAGGACATTCTAGTTTCATATGTCTGTTTGTTGTCACTTTACTCTGTGTGAGCCCAAAGAACTGTATCAGCTCCTTAAGAATTAACCAACCAGTTGACATCAAATCAATTCTGATTCATGGTAATCCTGTGTATATCAGAGTAGAACTATGTTCCTTCCATAGGGTTTTCAATAGTTGATCTGTCAGAACTAGGGGCCTCTGGATGGACTCAAACTGCCAAACTTTCAGCTGGCAGCCAGGCACTTAACCTTTTACACCACTACATCTTTAATTCCTGTTTCTTTGTGTGTGGGTGTGCATGTGAAAATATACATGTCTGATGTTTTAAATGTCACGACTAAAAGAATTTGTTACTCTTCTAATATAATTCTTTTATCCCAATACTTGATGACCAGTTTACAACACAGATGTAGAAAACATTTTGAAATCTAGTCAGTAACAAGTTATTTCTGGAATATCTCCAGGTAAGCATATTTGCTGTCTTCTGAAAACAAAAATAATCTAAGAACTTGAATCTTTTAAAAATCAACAATGTTAATAATACGTTTAAAGAGGAGCACATCAATCTAAATCTCTCATTAGTAGGAAGAAACAGAAATATCTAGTAGGAAGAGCAAATATCTAGAAGAAGCAGTACTAAGTGTCTGGCTCTCCCAGTGCCCCTAAGAGCTGATGGGCATTGTCACACTCTAACCTGCTGAAGAGAAGCCAACTTCAGAATTTGCCCTCATTCCTCTCACTCCTTCACAAAAACGAGCACCACAACTGCTGTCCTCTGCCTCATTTCAAGTTTTTTTGTTTCAAGGAACAATGTTACTAGCTTATGTACTTTAAATTTGGTATTACAAATGCAACTTGTTTAAATTTAAATGATTACACATAATTCACCTCATGCTTGATATCATGTGCATCATTTAGGTTAAGCATTATATGTTCTATAAATATGATAGACTTAAAAGTCTAAGTAAACCTGTGTTAAATGTTGATCTTGTTCCTCAAACCTATACTTAATTATTAATAATACAATATTTACTTAAACCCTCTCTCTTAATACTTCCATTGTTTTTCTACTTTATGAAATTCAAAGAAACTGAATAACTGGACTAAAAAAAGAAAATATTATTTAAAATAAGAATAGAAAACCTCAGTTTCCACTCCTTTCAATAATGTCAATCAAATCATCTCAATTAAATTACTACAGGTCCCTCTTCTGATCATCTCATAACAGTTGTTAATAATAATTTTAACATACACATTTAAGAAAAAAAAATCTAACCATTTACTTTTGAGTTCTTCAGAAACTGAGTCTCTGTTCTATATAAAATAAATTTAGCACATTAATATAGAATATAATTATGAAAGATAATTTCAACATAACAGTTTAGTAGCTAGATTAAAAACACATTCAAGGAAGGTCTCTTACTTTGAAGGAATGGAAGGCTAGTGTTCAACTGAGAAGAAGTATCACTAAAACAAAGGGTGTTGTCTTGAGCCCTGAGGTTCCAGTTGGGTTCAGCAGCCACACGATCTTCTTCAAGCAAAACAGCAATCACCTTTCAAATACAAGTGATTATTTTTTAACCAAAAATTTTCAAATGCATTATCTTTTCAAAAAATATATCTTTTCATTTTAACTATTTCTCCAAATAACTGCATAGCTCCAAGACATCATAGTAACTATATAAAGAAGTCATACTGTGAATGGAAATATAATTTACTCTGTACACTTTCACCCAAATTTCATTTAAAAAAAGAAAGAAAAGCCATATTGTTCTGCATAATAGCAGAAACTGATAGGTAAACTTCCATTAACATAAGCTCCAGAGAGTGATTATTTAATGCCAGACATCAATTTTTATAATAATTGCTTTCTTAAAGATCACAAGGGAAGGAAAAGGGCTGAGCATCCAACTTTTCTTAAGTAAATAAGGAAGTGTAAAGAAACATCAGCACATCCTACCTCAGTCTGTCTTGCTGGGCTATGGTAAAGATTAAAAGTACACTGTAAAAATCACTATATATTACAATAGCATGATTATTTTTAGAATGGCAACAACAATAATGGGGAAGCAAAAGTACATGTAGGAAAAAAATTTAATGGAAAATGGACAGGAGTTGATGTAAGAATGGTTGATGTAAGAGGGCAGAGGAGCTTGAGAGATCAGGCATCCTGTCCCCAACCTGGCCTTGGGTCTCTTCTCACTGATTTCCTATGTCTCTCTGTCTCCTATTCCAACCCATCCTTCCTCTACACTTCAACCTGGACCCAGTGCTCTCTCTTCTTAGTTCCACATCAACTTACACTAAAACACAGGCTGATAAAAATTTTGAAAACTATGTGGTAGCCCATAAAAATCTTATTTCACAAACCACAAAATTCTTATACACTAGTAGCATTGAAAAGAATGTATCTGTGGCAGTAACAATTACATATACAGATCAGATTTTGAGAAACTGGCTTTTCCCAACCATATATCATGGTTTAACAATGCTCTACTATATATATTGATACTATAAACTCTGTGCTTACATTAAAAAACAATTATTACACAACTGAAAGATTTGAACTCTCACTTCATATTTGATGACATTAAGAAATTATTACTAATTTTTAGTCCTTTTCTTTTAAATATCATACTGAAATATTATGGAAAAAATAACCCGATGGTTGGGATTTGTTTCAAAATAACTGAAGGTATGGAGAATGTGTGTGTATGAGGTGGGAGATGGGGTTCAGGTGAAATTAAATTGGGCCAGAGTTGATAGCTATTGAGGCTGAAGATGTATAACAAGTACATCAGGAATTCATTATACTATTCTCTTTTTCTTTTATGGTTTTTGAAAATTTCTATAATCAGTGTAAAGAATTATGAGTTTATTAGTTTCAAATGTCCTAGATAAATGTTTGCCTTGCCAATTTAATATGTCTTTTTTTTCCAGTCTATAGTTTCATTAAAATGTAACCAATTAATATTATAAGGTATGAAATCCAGGTATACATTATTTTCACTGATAAGCATTTCCTTTTAAAAAATGCAAGATGTATACCATTTTGCACATAAGGGCTTAAAGAATGTGCTACTGACAGTTTATAAGTAAAAAATACTTGAAATGAGTAACTGATTTTGTTTATCCAAACCTAAAAGGGTACCAGATTTTAGCAGCTCCTCTATTTCTATGTATATAAGATTTTAAGCACTCATCCATTTAATGTAACATATGGCATAGAATATACCTGACAAGCAGCTCGGAGAAAGTTAGATAATCTGGGTGTATCAATCTTTGGTACAATTGTAGGATCAGAGATAGCTCTATTTTCACTACCTAAAAAAAGGAAAAAAAATAATCAATAATGTAGACTCTAAAATAGTTATACATTACACATCTTAAGAGCCCAAAGAGGTGTTATAAATGAATGGTAAGAATACTAGAAGGAAAATTAGAAAAGTTTAAAGTTTATTTTCTAAGTTGACTAGTGATAGCTCCCAAAAACAATTACATCTTATTTTACACTAAGTCATAAACTGAAGCCTATTTAAACGCATTAGAGAAAATAGTTAAAGGAATCTGATTTAATTCTTATATGTCAATCTTAAATTTAAGCATATTATTTTCTTAAGGTGAGGCTTAACCTGAGGAAAGGGAGCATTATCTCTGCCTGATTAGGATAATTCCTCAAGATAAACAATTCACTAGGAAAAAGTATTTAATATCGAAATAAATATAGAATAGTTGGCAGAATACTATTTCCTGGAAACCGTCAATCTATATTGATGGAACATTTTGTCATTTGTACTTAAAATATGAAAATTTTATTGAGTTCATGAGAACAGACTGTCCTCAAGTTAAAAGTAGAGTGTGTTCAAAAAGTCCATATATAAAGTGACTGTTTGAAATGGAAAATCTTTTACTTCTTGTTTAGGAATAAGAAAATGTTATAAATCATGGTCAGAAGCCCAGAGTAGGCCTCAAAGGCTGATCTAATCCATTTTGTACTTCAACAGTTTTATTATTAGCCCTGCTCCTTGGGCCCTCCAATCATTGAGCATTGCTAAAGCCCTGTGAAGAGACATCAAGGTGACACAAGAGAAGAGGGCTGGGAAGGCTCGGGCACTGGGTGGCCTCCAAGCACCAAAGCAGGAGGACTCTGGTGACAGGGCTGCCAGCTTTATATGTACATATAGCCTGCTGATGACTGGAGTGCTTGCTATTTTAAGTATTCAATTAAGCAGATTTTTAATATGAATCTAAGTGTTGGCTATTTTAAAGCAATCATTTAATAAATATGTAGCCACAGAATTACAGGATTAAGTTACATATTGAGACAATATAAATCTCTGGGTTTTTGTTTTTTTTTTCACTGACATAAAATTATATTTCAAGTGCATATATTATGCACTTAAGAACAAACTTGAAATTTTGATAGGTATAGTCATAGGAAACAGTTACAAATTAAAGTTATTACTTATGAAAGATATAGAAGAAAATAAAAAAGAGTGAGAAAGAGAAGAAGGAGCAACCAGAACATTACTGGTATGTTTGGCTTATATTAAACAAAATAAATAAATAAATAAGTGCTTGTATGTGTATGCACACACACACATATATAAACTCTTTTTGTTTTTTCACTAATTTACCATAGTAGCATAGTGCCTAAGGCACTTGACTGCTAACCAGAAGGCTGGCGGTTCAAACCTACCAGCCACTCCTCGGAAGGAAGACAGGGCAATCTACTTCCATAGTGATACTGCCTCGGAAACTCAAGGAGCGGTCGCTATGAGTCAGGTCTGACTCAATGGCACATAACAAAAACAACAATATAAAGTTCCAGGAAATTAAAATTCTTCAAATAAAGCTAAATTCATTATCAGTAGTAGCAATCTGGTGTGATCCATGAAAAGAATATTGAGCAGTTCCTTAGTCATATACTAACAATTACATCCAAAAACTAAGACATATGAAAAAGAACAAGAAAGATAGTTAGTGAAAAAAATCAAAACAAAAACAAACCAAAAAAAAAAAAAAAAAAAATAAAAACAAAAAAAAAAAAAAAAAGATCAAAAGCGAAGAAACATTTACCTCCAGATACAACAGTACTTTCTCCTGGATGCTGGGTCCATACTTCCTTTGTCTCTATTTCTTCCGTCTGAATGTCTCTTTCAACATTGTCTTCATTATATTGAACATATGCCTTAAAAACAAATGTTGCCATATGTTGCCATCAAAGGACTTTATCAACAAAGTGAAAAGACAACCCACAAATTTGGAGAAAATTTTGGGAATGTGTGTCTGATATCCTGAATACATAAAGAACTCCTACAACTTAATAACAAAAAAGACAAACAACCCAATCAAAAAAAAAAAAAAAAAAAAAGAAGGGGAGAGGGGACAAGAGACTTGAACAGATATTTCACCAAGAATGACATACAAATTACCAGCAAGTACATGAAAAGATGTTCAACATCATTAACCATTGTGTTGTTGTTGCTGGGTGCCATCAAGTAAGTTTTGACTCACAGTGACCCCATGAGACGCAGCAGAACTGCCCCCATAAGCTATAATCCTTACAAAAAGAGACTGCCAGTTCTTTCTCCCGTGGAGTCCATGGGTGAGTGGTTTCAACCCGCCAATCTTTCAGTTAGCAGATGAGCACTTTATTATTGTGCCACCAGGAATCCTTCATTGGCCATTCCAAAACAAACCAAAGCTACTGACATTGAGTCAATTCTGACTCATAGCGACCCTATAGGACAGAGTAGAACTGTCCCATAGGGTTTCCAAGACTTTAAATCTTTATAGGAGCAAAATGCCTCATCTTTCTCCCACAGAGCAGCTGGTGGGTTTAAACTGCATATCTGTTAAAGTTGAGGAATGCTTTAACCAGGCAAAGAATCATAAGATCATATCAATCAGTGCAAAAAAAGCATTTGATAAAATCCAACACCCATTCCTAATAAAAACAGGACAAGAGGGGAAATTCCTCAATATAATTAAGGGCATATACACAACATCAAGAACCAACATTATTCTCAGTAGAGACAGACTGAAAGCACTTCCCTTGTGAACAGGAACAAGACAAGAATGCCCTTTATCACCACTCCTATTCAACATTATGCCCTTTATCACCACTCCTATTCAACATTATAAGTCCTAGTCAGAACAATAAGGCAAGAAATGGAAATTAAAGAAATCCATATTAGTAAGGAAGAAGTAAAACTATCCCCATTTGCAGATTATGATTCTATACATAGAAAATCCCAGAGATTCAGCAAGAAATGTACTGGAACTAATAGACAGATTCTGCAAAATGGCAGAGTACAAGATCAACATATAAAAATCAGTTGGATTCCTCTATACCAACAAAGAGAACTCTGAAAAGGAAACAAGGAAAGCAATACTATTTACAATAGCTACAAAAATATAAAACACTTAGGAATAAATTAGACCAGAAATACAAAAGACTTATGTAAAGAAGACTACTACAAGATACCAAAAGAGACCTACATAAATGGAAGAACATACCATGCTCATGGATAGGAAGATTTAACATTATAAATATGTCAATTTTACCCAAAACCATCCATGGCTAAATTGCAGTCTTGATCCAGATTCCATTAATATTCTCTAAAGAGATGGAAAAACCAATCGCCAACTTTATATAAAAAGGAAAGAGATCCCAGATAAGGAAAGCACTACTGAAGAAAAACAACAAAGTAGGAACTCTCACACTTCCCAATCTCAAAACCTACTGTACAGCCACAGTAGTCAAAACATCTTGGCTCTAGTATGACAACAGACACATAGACCAATGACACAGAATTGAGAACCCAGAGGTAAATCTATCCCCCTACAACAAACAGACAGAATTCTTTAAATGGGGGAGAGACCGTCTCTTCAACAAACAGTGCTGGCAAAACCAGATATCCATTTGCAGAAAAATGAAACAAGATCCATATCTCACACCATACACGAAAACTAACTCAAGATGGATCAAAGATCTAAATGTAAAACCTAAAATCATAAATATATCAAAGAAAAAACAAGGGGTAAACTTAGGTGCTCTAATATATGGCACAAATAGATTATCAAACAGAACCAAAAATGCACAAACAGCAGAATATAAACTAGATGACTAGGACCTCCTAAAATTTAATGCTTGTGTGCATCAAAATACTTCTCCAAAAGGGTAAAAAGAGAATCTACAGATTGGGGGGAACATAATTGGCAACAACATATCAGACAATGCAGTAATCTCTAAAATTTATAGAAAATTCAAAACCTCAACAACAAAAAGACAAACAATCCAATTTAAAAATGGGCAGAGGACAGAAACTGACACTTCACCAAAGGTGGCCAAAAAGCACATGAAGAAATGCTCACAATCATTAGCCATTATTGTTGTTGTTGTTACATGCCGTCGAGTCGGAACCGACTCATAGTGACCCCTCCTTGGGGTTCCGAGGCAGTATCACTATGGAAGTAGATTGCCCAACCTTCTTTCCGAAGAGTGGCTGGTGGGTTTGAACCGCCAAACTTCTAGTTAGAAGTCAAGTGCTTTAGGCACTACACTACCAGAGCTGCAAATCTAAACAATGCAATATCACCTCATCCCATTAATAATAACAAAGTTCAGTAAGATAGAAAACAACAAATGCTGTCAAGGATGTGGTGAGACTGACTCTCATACGATGCTGGTAGGACTATAAAATGGTAAACCACTATGGAAAATGGTATGGCACTTCCTTAAAAAGCTGGAAACAGCAATACCATTTCATCCAGAAATCCCACTACTAGGTATGTATCCTAAAGAAATAAGAGTCAGGGCACAAATAGACATATGCACACCCCTGATTACTATAGAACTACTCACAACAGCAAAGAGATGGAAACTACCTAAGTGTCCATCAACAAATAAATGATAAATAAAGTGTGGTATCTATACATAACGGAATATTGCCCAATGATAAAGAATAATGAAGAATTCATTAAACACCTAGTAACAGGGATGAATCTGGAAGACATTATGCTAAGTGAAATAAGTCAATCACAAAAAGACAAATATTGTATGAAACCACTATTATAAAAAGTCAAAGAAAGGTTTACACACAAACATTCTTTGATGGTTATTAGGGATAGGAGGAGAGGGAAGGGGAATCACTAACTGTTGTTGTTGTTAAGTGCCGTAGAGTCATGTCTGACTTCATAGTGACCCTATGCACAGCAGAACAAAACACCACCTGGTCCTGTGCCAACTCCATGATTCTCACTATACTTGAGCCCATCGTTAGAGCCACTGTGTCAATCCATCTCATTGAGGGCCTTCCCCTCTTTTGTTGACCCTCCACCTTACCAAGCATGACATCCTTCTCCAGGGAACGGGCCCTTCTGACAACATGACCAAAGCAGATGAGACAAAGTCTAGCCATTCTCACTTCCAAGGGCATTCCAGCTACACTTCCTCCAGGACAAATCTGTTAGTTTTTTTATCAGTCCATAGTACTTTCAGCATTCTTTGCCAGCACCACAACTCAAAAGCATCAATTCTTCTTCAGTCTTCCTTATCCATTGTCCAGCTCTCACATGCATACGAGAAGATTGAAAATATCATGGCTTGTGTCAAGTGCACCTTAGTCCTCAAGGAGACATCCTTGCTCCTCAGCACTTGAAAAAGATCCTTTGCAGCCAACTTGCCCAGTGCTATACATCATCTAATGTCCTGACTGCTGCTTCCATTGGCCTTGATTGAAGAACCAAACAATGTGAAGTCTTTGACAACCTCAGTCTTTTCTCCATTTATCGTGATGCTGCTTATTGGTCCAGTTGTGAGGACTTTTTCTTCTTTATAATGAGACGTAATCCATACTGCAGACTGTATTCTTCAATCTTCATCAATAAGTGCCTCAAGTTATCCTCACTTTCAGCAAGCAAAGTTGTGTTGTCAGTGTATTGCAGGTTGTTAATGATTCTTCCTCCAATCCTGATGCCATGTTCTTCTTAATATAGCCCAGCTTCTCAGATTATTTGCTTGGCATACAGATTGAATGAGGAGGGGGAAAGTATACAACCCTGATGCACTCCTTCTTGATTTTAAACCCCTTGTTCTGTTTGAATGACAGTCTTCTGATCAATGTATAAGTTCCTCATGAGCACAATCAAGTGTTCTGGAATTCCCATTCTTCTCAATGCCATCCACAATTTGTTATGATCTACACAATCAAATGCCTTTGCATAGTAATCACTAACTAGATAATAATAATAATAAAAAAAATAAGTAATAGATACTTATTAATTTAGGTGAAGGAAAAGGCAATATACAATAAAGGGGTGATCAGCACAGTATTACTAAAGCAAAGGAAGACACTGAGAGGTGCAAAAGAGTAACAGACAGCAAAGGTAAACACTATTACATACACAATCCTACAATATCAGTAATAACAAACAACAGTCTACAAGTGCATACACAAGCAGACATGCATGCTGGACAGGTATGGGCAAGCAGATGAATGACATCCATGACCATCTATAGGTTTGGCAGAGGATATTTCTACATACATACTTGTATGTGGTATAAAGATACACATGTATATAGTAGAGCAAACAGGAGGCAAAGATGCAAAAACTTCTTAGCTGTAACCCAGTACCTTGTGAGAATGAGTCACTGGGCTTGGGGGCTTAGCACCACAGTTTTGGGGGGACAGCTAAATCAACTGACAGAACATAGTTCACAAAGGCAATGTCCTACACTCTATTGTGGTGAATAGTGACTGTGGTCTTAAAAGCTAGTGAGGCCATCTAAGATACAACTAGTGAAAGAAAGAAAAAAGAAAAATATCAAAGACACAAGGAAAAATTAGTCCAAAAAAAGGACTAATAAACCACACGAACCACAGCCTCCACTATCCTGAGACCAGAACTAGATGGTGCACAGTTACCACTACCAACTGCTATGATTGAATTCACAGAAGGTCCTGGACAGAATGGGAGACAAGCATAGAACAAAATTAAAAATCATAAAAAAGACTTGACTTGCTGGTTTGTGAGAGACTGATGTAGCCCCTGAGACTGTGGCCCTTTAGACACCTGCAAACCTGGAACTGAATCCACCCCTGGGGATCATCTTGCAGCCAAACAAGAGGCAGGCCTATAAAGTGAACAATAACACTCATGAGGAATGTACTGCTCAGAATAATCAACCATATGAGACCAAAAGGGCAGCATTTGCCCCCAAACAAAGCTCAGAAGGCAGAAAGGGGAAGGAAAGAAGGACAAATGGAAAAAAGGGAACCCAGGGAAGAAGCAGGAAGAATGCTGTAACATTAAGGGAATTAAAACAAAATGTTTATAAATTGTTGAATGGAAAACTAAATTGCTCTGTAAACTTTCACCCAAATCCCAATAAAAGAAAATATTCACATGAAAGATCTCAAAAATATTGGAAAAATTTGAAAAAAATAAGTGATAGATATCAATACATACAGTATGATATTATTTGTGGAAGTTAAACATTAAAATAATACTGTATAAAGTAAAAAGAAAAAAAGAATTAATGAAGGTGCCTAGGTGGCACAAACGGTTTGCATTTGACTGCTAGCCTAAAGGCTGGAAGTTTGAACCTAGCCAGTGGTCACATGGAAAAAAGTTCTGGTGATCTGCTTCTGCTAAGATTATAGTCACGTTAAACAAAAAACAAAACAAAACAAAAAAGATTATAGTCACAAAAATCATATAAGGGACTTCTACTCTGTAACACACAGAGGCTACATGACTTAGAACTGACTTGATGGCAACAAACCACAACAAGAGCTGTATGAAATGCTAACAGGTAAATGAATAGATATCAAAGTTTATTAGTGGATACCAGGGACAAGTAGGAGCTCTGGTAGCATAGTGCCTAAGGCACTTGACTGCTAACCAGAAGGCTGGCGGTTCAAACCCACTAGCCACTCCTCGGAAGGAAGGTTGGGCAATCCTACTTCTGTAATGATACTGCCTTGGAAACCCAAGGAGGGGTCGCTATGAGTCGGGGCCGACTCGATGGCACATAACAACAACAACAACAACAGGGACAAGTGGGAGGGGAAAATGAGGAATTATTGCTTAAGGTGTATTGACTTTCTGTTAGAAATAAGAACAAAATTTGGATAGTGGTAATAGTAGAAAGCATGGTGAACATAATTAATGTTACTGAATTGTACACATAAAAATGGTTGAAATGGCAAATGTTTATATATGTGTATGTATATATACACACGCACATATATATATATTTCACCACAATAAAAATTTAAAATGAAACCTAAAAAATGTGGTACATACATACAATAGAATATTAGTTAAAGAGAAATGAAGTCATGATACATGCCACAACATGGATAAACCCTGAAAACATTATGCTGAGTGAAATAAGTCAGACAGAAAAGGACAAGTAAGTATGAGCTCACTCAGATGAAATAGGCAAATACATATAAAATGAAATTTATTAGTGGTTACCAGAAGTGGGAGGAAGGGAGAAGGGGTACACTGTTGCTTAGGGGGCACTGAATTTCTGTTAATGGTGGTAGAATAATTTGGACAAGAATAATAATAATGGTTGTACAACATAAAGAATGTAATCAATGTCAATGAATTATACATGTAAAAATTGTTGAACTGGTTAATACTTTCTTATGTATATTTTACTACAATTTAAAAAATACAAAGATATATAGGTATTGACACTTAAATTCAGAGCAGTTATCTCCTTACTGAAAAGAAAAACAATTAAAATTTTTAATAAGCTAATAATGACAAGTCATCTTGCTGGTGTCAAAAACAAGTATCATGACATAAATAGCAATCATGCAAAGACTTCTTTTCTTAAACATTTGAGATATAGGACCTAATTTTCAGAAATGTTTTCAAAAAGTCACATCAAACAATTCCTACCCGTTGTGTTCTATTCCTTTAGAACATATCGACTTTGTAAAACCTAACCACAAAGTTCTAATCTCAAAAAGGTATGTTCTTAAGCAAAGAAAGCTTTGTTATTAACAGGCTTAAGATGAGAAAACAAGCGAAGATAGTCTATTCAAGGTCACAGAGTGAGTCAGTTGCAAAGCCAGGATTAAAACTGTCAGCTTCTTGAGTTTCATGCTGTCACCATCTTCCTATTAAAAGAGTATTATAATTGAATGTACCCAGCATATCATGCTAAGATTGATGCTACGGACTATCAGGAAAAAAAGGAGAAAAACTATCAGAGACATAACTATCAGACTTTTCATAATAAAATAAAACACAATTCCTGACTTCAAAAAATATACAATCTTTTTGGGAAGGTGGACCATCAAAATCAATAACTAGAAACATGATAACCCAAACCAAACCCACTGCCGTGGAGTCGGATCAGACTCATAGTGACCCCTCCTTGGGTTTCCAAGGGAGCTCTCTGGTAGCATAGTGCCTAAGGCACTTGACTGCTAACCAGAAGGCTGGAGGTTCAAACCCTCTAGCCACTCCTCGGAAGGAAGGTTGGGCAATCTACTTTCGTAGTGATACTGCCTCGTAAACCCAAGGAGGGGTTGCTATGAGTAGGGTCCGACTCCACGACACATAACAACAACAACAACATCACTACAGATTGCCCAACCTTCCTTCTGAGGGTTTGACCCACCAGCCTTCAGGTTAGCAGTCAAATGCCTTAGGCAGAAATGTGAAAGGGCAGTACAAAACGGTGAGGATGGACTGCAGCAACTATGGAGTAAGAAATAAAATTCAATGTAAATCTCAGGAAGCATTCACAAAGACAATAGCCTTGAACTTTGAAGAACAGATACATAACTGGAGAGAAGGGAGCAGGAAAGCAGAAGCAAGGGGAGAGACAGTCTGGCATACTGAGACCAGTGAGAGAAGTAAGTTAGAGAAACAAACAAGATATGACTGTGTATTATGGCAGACCCAGATTAGGGAGAGCTCTGGAATATAACACAAGCAATAATTACATATAAAGTGCTTTGCAATCATTGAATTACAAGCATTTTATACAGGTAAGTACGATTGCTACATCCTCACCAGGAACCCAAAGAACTGAATCTAAAATCTGACATTTTGTTTGACTTGAAATAAAACATAAAACTGTATTCAAAAGTTAAGAATGTAGTCCCACCATCTGTAGCCCATTACATACAGATTATTTATCGATTAATTCTAAATGTTTTTGTGGTATCTATTTAGATTTCTCATTTGCATAATCACTTTGAGTTAGTAAGTATCATGTGATGAAAAGGTGCCCTTTTTTTTCAAGCTTTAAGCTTTATGCTTCATATACCATTCTCAAATTCTAATATTCTGGAACAAGTTACAGTTAGGCACAATTTACTTTATTACATTTTAGTTGCATTTTATCACTTAGTTAATAAATCTTGTACTAACCTGCTTGGTATTTTTTTTCCCAAAGTTTCTGATATACATGTCATATTCATTTACTGGTGGTAGATCCAACAGAGAGAAAGTGAATGAAAAATCTAAGTCAATAAGCCGAAGTAGTTTTGTACTGCGTGTCCTTTAAAATAAATCAGAAACAAAACAAAAATTAACTTGAGTAATACACATAGGGAAATTGTATGGGAGAGAACAGTAGGAACCTTGTGGTTAGATGTAGGTTATTTTCAGAGATCTAGCTTTTGTTTGGATGTGAATTTGAATTATTTAATAAGGTGTTAAAAATAAATAAGTAAAAGCCAGTCATGTATGAGCAAAGATGAAAGTGTCATGAACCAAAAATACCGATTATTCCATTTCTGTGCAATTGAAGATAAAACATAATAAAATCATCAAACATATATGCCTAGAATTTTCATGAAAAGTAATTCATTTTGATTTTGTGAATTAGTATGCCTTGGCTAGAGAATTAAATTTTTATCATTCCACCTGAGCACCAGGTAGCATAGCTTTTTAAGGACATGCTCTGCTTCTTCAGATTGTAGTTTTCTTGAGACTGCTGTTGTTATTGGGTGCCATCGAGTCAATTCCTACTCATAGTGAACCTACAGGAGAGGGTAGAACTGCCCCCTCAGGTTTCCAAGGTTGTAATCTTTACAGGGGGAGCTCTGGTGGCATAGTGCCTAAGGCACTTGACTGCTAATCAGAAGGCTGGCAGTTCAAACCCACCAGTCACTCCTCAGAAGGAAGATTGGGCAATCCACTTCTGTAGTGATACTGCCTCGGAAACCCTAAGAGTGGTCGCTGTGAGTCAGAGACAACCCAATGGCACATAAATACACAACAACAACAACAATCTTTACAGGAGCAAATTGCCAGGTCTTCTTGCTGTGGGGCAAGTGCTTAACCATTGCACCACCAGGGCTTCTTCTCTTGACACTATAGTAAGTCTTTTTAATTCCCACAGAATTTTTACCTATGAGCAGCACTAGACACAGTTAACCACCCCTTCCTCCTTGATACACTGTTCTTGACTTGGCTTTCAAAACATTACATTCATTTGGTTTTCTTCCCACCTTATAGATTGCTCCTTTTTAATCACCTTAGAGCTCTGGTAGCGTAGTGCCTAAGGCACTTGACTGCTAACCAGAAGGCTGGAGGTTCAAACCCACCAGCCACTCCTCAGAAGGAAGATGGGGCAGTCTACTTCCATAGTGATACTGCCTCGGAAACCCAAGGAGGGGTCGCTACGAGTCAGTTCCGACTTGATGGCACATAACAACAACAGCAGCTAGTTACTGCCTTTCTTTCAGACACTCTTAACACAGTCCCCAGAATTCAATCCTTTTATTTATTTTTTGTCACCTCCTCTGCAAGGACAGAGATATTGATTTCATTTACTACTATTTGTGTATGGTGTGAGGGGTTCAGGTTCATTTATTTTCATACATATATCCAATTTTTCCAGCAGCATTCATTGAGAAGACCATCCTTTTCTGTACTACATTGCAGTGGCACCTCTGTGGTAAATCAGGTGACTATATATGTGTATAAGTCTGTTTCCAGACCCTCTACTCCATACATTAGTCTATTTGTGATACTTCTGCCAGTAACACAAGTGTTTACTGTACCTTTATAATAGATCTTGATATTTAAGTCCTCTGACTTTGATCTTCTTCTTCAATTTTGCTTTCACTATTTTGATCTTTTGCATTTCCATGTACATTTTAGAATCAGCATTTAATTGACACACATAAACTGCTAAGATTTTTATTGGGATTACATTGAATCTATGTTGTTGTTGTTGTTATACATTGCCAAGTCGATTCCGACACATAGCGACCTTATGCCCAACAGAACAAAACACTGCCCGGTCCTATGTTGTTCTTGTTGTTGTTGTTGTTATATGCCGTCGAGAGAGCCCGGTCCTATACCATCCTCGTAATTATTGCTATGCTTGAGTTCATTGTTGCACCCACTGTGTTAACTCATTTCATTGAAGATCTTCCTCTTTTACGTTGACCCTCTGCTTTACCAACCATAATATCCTTCTCCAGGGACTAGTCCCTCCTGAAAACATGACCAAGGCATGAGAGATGAAGTCTCGCCATCCTCACTTCTACGAAGCATTCAAACTGTACTTCATCCAAAACAGATTTCTTCATTCTTTTGGCAGTCCACAGTATATTCAATATTCTTCAACCATAATTCAAATGCATCCATTCATCTTTGGTCTTCTATAATCATTGTCCAGATTCCATATGCATATGAGGGGATTTTGGGTAATATTGAGAAGAATGGGAATTCCAGAATACTTGATTGTACGTACTCATGAGGAACCTGTACATAGATCAGGAGGCTGTCGTTTGAACAGAACACGGGATGCTGCATGGTTCAAAATCAAGAAGGGAGTGCATCAAGGTTGTATCTTTTCACCATAATTATTCAACTTGTATGCTGGGCAAATAATCCAAGAAGCTGGATTATATAAAGAAGAACGTGGATCAGGATTGGAGCAAGACTCATTAACAACCTGCCATATGCAGATGACACAACTTTGCTTGCTGAAAGTGAGGATGACTTGAAGCACTTACTGATGAAGATTAAAGACTATAGTCTGCAGTATGGATTACACCTCAATATAAAGAAAACAAAAATCCTCACAACTGGTCCATTAAACACCTTCACGGTGGATTGAGAAGAGATTGAAGTTGGCAAGGATTTCATGATACTTGGCTCTACAATTAACATCAATGGAAGTAGCAAAGACATCAGACGACGTTCTGCATTGGGCAAATCTGCTGCAAAGGACCTCTTTCAAGTGATGAAGAGGAGAGATGTATCCTTGAAGACTAAGGTGTGTCTAACCCAAGCCATGGTCTTTTCAATCACCTCTTATACATGTGAGAGCTGGACAATAAATAAAGAAGACTGAAGAAGAGTTGATGCTTTTGAATTGTGGTATTAGAGAAGAATGCTAAGAGTACCATGGTCTGCAAAAGGACTAACAAATCTGTCCCAAAGGAAGTGTAGCCAGAATGCCCCTTGGAAGCAAGAATGGCCAGACTTTGTATCACCTGCTTTGGTCATGTTGTCAGAAGGAATGATTCCCTGGAGAAGGATATCATGCTTGGTAAAGTGGAGAGTCAACGAAGAAGGGGAAGGCCCTCAATGAGATGGATAGACACAGTGGCTGCAATGATGGGCTCAGGACTGGGCAGTGTTTCATTCTGCTTTACATGGGGTCACTATGAGTCAGAGATGACTTGACAGCCCCTAACAGCAATGAGGAGACTGAAAATACTATGGTTGGGTCAGAAGCACCTTAGTATTCTAAGTGACATCTTTGCTCTTTAACATTTTAAAGAGATCTTTTGTTCATATCTACCCAGTGCAATAAAACACCTGATTTCCGGAGATCGATTCCAAGATGGCAAAACAGACAGAAAGTCTACACAGACCCTCTTCAACAAAGAAAAGGGAAACCAATTAACACAGACACAAAAGATAATCCTGGACCCCTAAGCCTTGAAGGGAAGGATATAGAAGTGGACTAAATCCCAACTAGCAGAAAAATTTGCATGGAAATACCACAAAAGGAGACATACGGAGCTGCGGTCTGACAGCGATCCTGACAGTACAGACAGCTTGGAGAATCCCGAGTGGTAGTAGGACCTAAGAATTAACCTAAAAATCAGCCCTGCTAGCCAGGGACTGCACAGAGGACTGCTCTAGTGGCTGTGGAATAAAAGTGGAAGCAGTGGGGAAGAGGAAGACGGGCTGAGGTGTGGACCTTGGCCATTCCAGAGGTTGCCGCCATTTTGAATGTTTACAAGCAGCTTCACCATTTTGGATTTTTAAAGAGACAGCGCTGTCCGAGATTACAGGAGCTTAAGAAGAGGTTCTACTTTCCAGTAACCCCAAGGACACCCCAGACCTACATGACAGAAAAGGTGCGACATTCCCCTTGTTACTCTTATACCCCACACCCATGTGGTAAAAGGAGGTGCAGCCACCCCCCACTCCCACCCACTTTATGGGCCCACAGGAACTCCATCCCAGTCTCTGTGCTTGGATGGAACCTGGGTGCTCTGCCCTGCATTCCGCCAATTCTTTTAATTTTTCCCTTTCTTTTCTCTGGTGTTTAGCTTGTATTTGTCTGTTTGAAACTACTATTATAATTAATACTTTTGTCCTTGTTACTATTCTTCCCCACCCAGGTCCTACTTTACACCTTTTTGTTTCTTTTCCCTGTTCCAGGTTAAAATTATTTTTTTTAATTTAAATTCTTCCCCGCCCCTTTTTTTTCAAGGTTAACGTTCTTCCTTGTTTTCCTTTTTTCTTTTTTTTTTTTTGCATTTTTCCCATTTTTTTCTCTCATTATTCTCCTTCTCTACCTTTTTTCTCTTAGTGCCCTATCCCCAGATATTACAAGTTTTCTTGTTTTTTTTCTTCTTTTCTCCCTTTTGCTTTTTTTGGTTACTGATCCTGTGTGATTACTGGTGTATTTTTTGTCCACATGCTTTTAGTTTTTTGATGGTTATTCAATTGTAATTTTTGTCTAACTGAGTGGGAGACAGAAACAGTCCCCATAAGATACAACTACACCTACACCTCCTGCAACTTCACTTACTGAACAAGAGCTCAGATATAGCCTCCTTCTCCACCAATGGGCCAACGATAAAAAACAACCAAGAAGAGCCTGAGTCACCCTTGGCTGCTCTTCACAAACAGTTAACAGAGATCTTAATACGATACCATGATGTCTTGGAGACAACAGACCATCACAGTCCACACAAAGAAGCAAGATAAAGTGGTAGAAACAAGGGAACAGGATACAGACCCAGAACAAATCCCTGAGGAATAAGCAGTATTGGAACTCTCTGATAAGGAATTCAAAGGAATTATATTTAGGTATCTTCGAAGGATGGAGAGACAGACCAAAGAAAACACAGAAAAAACCTTAGAACAATTTTGGAAGAAAATACAAGAACAAAATGACAAAATAAATGAAAAATTAGAATGGATTCTAAATCTACAGATAGAAATCCAAAAGATTAATACTAAATTTTAAAAAATAGATAACACATTGGAAGGGTAAAGGGGTAGAACTGATGCAAT